CAGAGCCACCGGGGTGGAGCAGCCCAGCAGGTCCTTCTTGGAAGAGCTGTTGAGCAGCAAGACTGAAGTGTGAAGTCCTGAGCACAGCAGAGAAACTGAGACCACAGGTGTTACGGTTGATACACTGCGCCAACTTGGGGAGTCTAGAGCTTTGGCTAAGTGACTCAGCAGTTCTGCCTCGGGGTGAAAAGGACACGCCCTTACCCTCCTGGGATGTTGTTTATTGTGTTAATTTGAGAAGTTTAGAAGGTTAACTATGCAACTCAGAAGGGGTCCAGGGTGCTTACTTTGTATTCATCCTGAGCCTGTGCAGGAGGCAGGCATGCAGAGGGTGTGGGTGTGGAGGACCACCCCCATCCCCCCAGAGCGGGTAGACTGCATAAAAAAGGAATTGAGGAAGGAGTGGCTGCTGGTTCTTCGGAGGAGCTCGGGTCTTTGCCTTCAGCTTGGTCGTCTCCTGGCTTCTGGTGCAGACTGTTGGGCTTCCGTCTGGACTCTTCAACCTTCTGGTGTTGGCTCTCCGGCCTTCATCGTAGATTCTTCAGCATTCCGTCGCAGACCCATCAGCCTTTTGATACGGATTTGCACGGACACTGCAGCGAGCTCCAGGCCCGGGGCTGGGCTCTTCAATCTCCAGCGTGCAGACACCCTCTGCACACTTCCTCATCCAACTCTGTAGCTGACCATTGTAAGCCAAACTTGTAATTCCTTGTACATTTGTTTATCTTGTATTACATCTGTTCCTCTAGTAAACCCTGACTGATACAACTTCTTGGAGAAGTCAAGAAGGAGAATCAGGAAAAATGAAAGGGAGGCAGAGGACATAGGTCGAAGAGTAGCCTTTATGTCCCCCTCCCCCACACACAACCTGCCAGCTTTCTAAGCCGCAGGGACACATTTCTAATCACCAAGATGACATCAGTCCTTCGGTCTCCTTGCTCAGCCAAACTTCACCATCACAGGCTCTGGTCTCTGACTGACAAGAGAGACTAACAGATTCAGCCTAACACATTCTTCTCAAGTATTTCTCAGAAAAGCTGACACTTTTACCCAGTGTTACAGACCAAACTCTGCATCCTCCCCTCTGCCCAAATTCACATGTGGAACTGCTAACAGTCATACCACAGAATGTGACTGTATTTAGATACGAGGGTATTTAAAGAGGTAATTAAATGAAGTCATTAGGACAGGCTTTAATCCAATATGTCATAAGAGAAATCAGGACACAGAGAAGCACAGAGGGACGAGGCTGTGAAACACAGGGAGAAGATGAGCATCTATAAGCCACAGAGAGGCCCCCATGACAAGTCAAACTTGCCAACACCTTGATCTTATGCTTCTAGACTCCACAACTGTAAGAAAGTAAATCTCTGTTGTTTAAACTGGTCAGTCTGCAGGATTTTGTTATGATGGCCTAAACAAAGCAGTGCACCTGGTTAGTGTTGGTGGAGTCACAGCCTTAGCAAGAGGGCCTCTAGCTCTTCTCCTTATGCCAAACAGGCAGCCTCTGCCCTGCGCACAGAGCCTCCCTTGCCCCTCCCTGCACAACCCCGCCCACACACACCTACTCCCTTCACTGCCAGGATGATAAAAGGATTTTTAGATCCTTTCAGACTGCAGGCTCCCACTGTATTTTTTAAAATATCTTCTGCGACAGGGTAGACAAAACAGTATTTGTCCCTTGAATAGGACTGCTTCATAGATGTATTTCTAGATTTCAGTTCTCTTGGATTAAACTGCAGTGACTTTAATTCCACCTTAAATACCCCCAGGGCAGCCTACACCTATTTTCCCTTTAAATAATATGGGGGGGGGGACATAAGGAATGCGAAATCCAGCCAAATGCACCATCTTCCTCAGTCTCTTAACACTCATGCCTCAGTCTTCTGCCACTCCCACTTATGTACATACGCACAAACACACATATGCACACCTATAAATGTTCTGCCTACTCCATGGCTGTGTCCAGGCCATCTTCCTCCTCCTCCAACACAAACAGCCCAATAGCTCAGCACCTCCAGGACCTACTCTTACAAGATTTCTGCTTTTTCAAACATTTTAATTGAAAGCTCTTGATAAGAAGAAGATTAGAATTCTTCCAGGAAAATGCCTTCAGTTACAAGCTTGAGTTTCCCTGAAAACCCTAGCCTGACCCAGGTTCTTAAAGAATTGAGTTTGATGAGCAAGCAGAGGTGAATGATCAGTGTCAGCAATCATGAAGTTGGTTCCAAGAATTCCAGTGTTTTGGCATCAGGCACACAAGGTCCCAGGAGGACAGATTACATCTTCTGCCTTTCTTTCAGCTGTTCTGACCCAGCACAGGCCCAGCTGGAGGAGATGAAGTCTTTTCCCCTACTCTGACCCAAAATTCTTGTTGAAGAAGTCACTACCTGACCAATAGGTCTGTGCTCTCTCCCACTGAAATCAGGAACAGTCCTTGTAAGGAGCTCTTTCCCTTCCTTGGCGGTGGTTAAGCCTTATGTTACCCCAGTGTTCTCTCTCCAAGACTGAGAAAATCAGTGGGAAAGAATCACCAGCACTAGGTTCACCAACTTGATCCTCATCCAGGAAAATGGGCTTTGTGAGCTGCTCATTCTGCCGCTGACACACTGCCTAGAGAGTTCTGTGAGAAAAAAATCTTTCTCTCTCCTTCCCACTGCCAGATTACTACCTGCAAGGTCAGCAGTTAAAACAGCTACAGTACTCCAGTACTTGGAAACATGTTGACATCTGCTGGAAGGAAAACCGAAGGGAGGAAAAACCTGGTGGAGTACAAGATGGAAGAACATATTCCTAACCTCAAGAAAACACACACCCTATTTCTCCACTGCTCCAAGTTACCACACTGGCTGTAACTGGAGCAGGAGTCATGAGTGTCAGGGATAGACAGGCTTCTCAGGACACAGGCCTCCGTGTGTCTAACGGGTGTAGTAATTGTATTTAGGCAGGAAATATCTAAGGAAAAGACTGAAAAAAGAAGGGAAGTTCTGCCGACCTTAGAGGCTGTTTTTGAGTTAGATATGATGCATAAGGTAGCCAAGAAAAAAACAACACATGGAAAAAAAGAAGACCATCTAGAAGCCCACTTTCTGAGACTAGATTCACCTTCAGAGTTAAGCATTAACCCACAACCGGGATTCCCACGTCTAAATACAATGGGAAAAGATAATCTGACAGTTTAGTTATACACAGTAAGTCCCCAGGCATGCACCTAGTGGTCTTCTGCAACCCTTGGCTGGCTACAACCCTAATTACCATGTCACTGATTGTGCAGATTTAACCCTGATGTGCTTTTGAATGTCATGACTGTTCCTCCCACCGCCATAAAAGGTCAAAACCCCACTGCCTGATGGAGGCGCTGACTCAAGCCACTCTTTGGCCAGGGTCACAGCTCAGACCAAACCCTCAATCCCACCCCAAACCCTAAGGTTTAAAGCTCTCAACACCAAGCCCCTCAGTGCCATGAGCTCTTCTCACTGGTCCATTCCCACCCCAAGGACTTAATGTTATCTTTTTAAAATTAAATTTATTGATACATTTTAGGTATATGTGATGATCACATTCATTAAAGGGAATTGTACCTGTACCTGATATAACTTGATTCTTTTTTCCCGTTCCCCTACCCCTCCTTCTACCCCTCTTCCCCTCTTTATTTACAAAAGTTTTGTTTCCATTTTATCCTTCTTTTCTCATTTTTGTCCCTTCCTTCTTTTCCCCCTCCCCCCTTCCTAGGCCCCCTTCTCATTTGAACATTTTCTTCCTATTTCACAGCCTCTATTACGCATTTTGGTCCTTGTTTATACTTTTGGTTTCTCACACCAGAGAAACTATGTGGTATTTATATGTGTCCGATTTATTTCAGTTAAGAGTATGGCCTCAAGGTTTTCTCTTGTCTCTTCTCTTTCAAATAAATCATTGATCCTGCTGCTGGGGTGTCCTACTCAATTCTTTGTTTAGAACATCAAAAACCTGAATAATCCAGTAACAGTACCTCTCTCTTGGGTTGTTGTTATATATCCCAAGTGATACCTGTATGACACAATTTGAAAGACTCATTCAGTCAATGACAGTCATGTATTGCTGACAAAAGCCAGGGAAGACAGCAGGAGGAAACCATCAGTTGTAAAATTTAAAATGGCAAGATGCTCTCAGGGAATTAGAAGGTGTAGTAAAGCCAAGACTGCCAATAACAGGAGAAAAAAGGATCAAATGATAAAATTCAAGGTGTAAATAATGGCCAAACTTTGGAGCTGATATTCCTTTTTATTTGCAGGAGGCTGAAGATTTATAGGTGGCTGGAGAAGCACAACAGTTAGATCTGCATCAGCTGGGTGAGAAATCCAGACCTAGACTAAGCTAGACCTGTGGAGGACCCCCAGGGGTGTCCAGAAGGGCATCCTTTGCTACTGGGATACCATTGCCATGGAGCACAGAGCACTATCTATTAAGCTGCCTTTGTGAAAATCTGAATGTTTCTTTGTAACTACCAGAGCTGGTTCCTTTTTGATGACCCCTTTGAATAACAACTATTTCCTTCTCATACTTTTGATTTCTTTCTTTTTAAAGAAAATTTTAAGGGGCTGGGGATTTAGCTCAGTGGCACAGCACCTGCCTGGCAAGCGGGAGGTCGTGAGTTCAATTCCCAGCACCAGAAAAAAAAAAAAGAAAAGAGTATCAGGTAAGAAAATTTTAAGCATTGATTGTTCCTTTCATTAAACCACAGACAACAGCAATGCACCTTGTACTTTTGATTTCTGAAGATGGCTTTATTGTTTTTTGTGTCTGCAAACTCAATCCAAATTATTTTTTTAAATCCAGCTGTTACAGAATACTTAAGGTCACCACTACCAACAATTTGGAACTACATGATTTATTTTTTACAAAAATATATTGAGCCACAGATCCTCTTCTGCAGCTTGAGTTTTCAGTAAGCAAATGATCCTTGCCATATTCCCAGGCCAGCACATTTAGATGTTTCTTAGACAATTTCGCCAACTTTGCACTCTCCAGACACTCCTGAAGTGAACGTTTCCTTTGAAACTTGTAAATTATTAGACAGTTTCTCTAATATAAATCCCTAAAAGTAGGCATGCTGATCATATATGTAAGGTCGGCAGAGGGAATAGGTACAAGACACAGCAACAGAAAAGGAAGTCTTATTGGAGCGGGAGTGGCGGCAAGTCTCAAAGGGTAGAGACCCTGACACAAGGCAAGGTGGCTGGGTTTATATACAGGTAGAGGGGAAGGGAGGCTTTGTTTGAGCGGGCAAGGCGTTTTCAGGAGGGGTAAACATTTGTGGATTAGAGCAAGGTGTCTGTCACGGGGTGGGGTTGATTTCTGTAGTTTCACCCTGGGGGTTGGGACTGAAATGGACCCTAACATTCCCATCTTTTTGTTGTTGTAGGGGTTGTAGCTCTAACTGACTGCTTCCTGCTGATGGGGGTGTTGTCCTGGGGAGGGGTTTGAGATGGAGGTACATTTCAGTTCCCAGACTGGAGGCCAACAACATAACTTCTCTGTCAGTAAAAGCTCAAACTCTTTGTGGGATAAAGTTTCCTCCTACCTTGAGGATGCGGGGCCCTAGAAGGACCATCATAAACACAAAGAGGGGTCCTATTAGGGGTATGAGATAGGGGCCCCAGTGCCCCAACGATGGCCAGAAAGAGGAGGAGGAAAACCTGGAGATTTCTTGTCATTTTTTGTCTACATACTCACAGATCTATTTTACCTTGTCCATGACGATCCCTGACTGGTTAACAAAATAACAACATTCTTCTAACATGGCACAGGTTCCTCCCTTTTCAGCGGTCAAGACTTCTAGGGTTCAGCAGTTTTTGGAGAGTGACAGCTGCTAGGCTGTTGATTTGGTTTTGGAGGGACTGAACTGATGAGGCCACTTCCTCCAGTTGAAGGGTCAGGTCCAGAGAGAGTTGTTGGTAGAGATAGGTGGCTGTTCCAGGCCCTCCTGCCCCAAGACCAGTACCGAGGACAGAAAAAATCCAGTTGCCGATGAGGTTGGGGTGTGGACCGCTCTCTGTTTGGGATGTGTGATTGAGGGTTGGGAAAGAAGACATACTTTGGTGGCGTCTTTAAGGTCCAGGACGGTGTAGTGGGTGGAGGCAAGTTTATCTGTGGCAGGGAGAGGGCAGTGTAGAGCCAGGAGGAGAGACTGAGGAATTGAGACAAAAAGAGAGGGTAAAGTTAAACTTGGTGAGGAAGTCTCATCCCCAAAGAGGAGAGGGGCAAGTGGGTATAACTAAAAATGAGTGAGTGAAAAAGAGATTCAAGATGACACAAAGTGGACCGGTTGTGAGAGGCCAAATAGGAGTGCCATCAAACCCCACAACGGAAGTCTGTGGCAGAGAACATTTGCCTGCAAACTCTGGCAATACAGAGTAAGTGGCCCCCGTACAAATGAGAAATTTAATGGTCTTACTGGTGACTTCAATGGTCACTTGGGGCTCTTCCAGAGATAAAGTGGTTGGAGCCAGGATCCCCAAGCCTCATCAGTCTTTGAAGGCAAGTCCCAGCAGATCCACTAGGGATTGATCACCAGTGGCTGCCCATGGGATTGGGTTGGAGACTGGCTTACCTGATCTTTGGTGGGTAGGAAATCAACCTTCCAGTGTCCCATCATGCCGCAGGTTTTGCAAGGTCCCAGCAGTTTTTGAGGATCAGGGCAGACTCGTGCCCAGTGTTTCTCTTGGCCTCTCTTAGAACAGGGTCCTGGTGGGGTCTTCGGCTCGGGGTCCTATGGCCCTTTGTTTTTAAATTGGCCTGAGGAGCCAAGGGAGCTCTGAGTGCTGCAGTTAAAAGCTGATATTTGACTTTACCTGGGTTTTGTTTATCTATTTTTTGTTGGTCTCCTTGGTTATTGAAGACCTTAAAGGCCAACTGAGGAATTCATGTTGTGGGGTTTGAAGGCCATCCTCTGTCTTTTTTAATTTGGATCTAATATTGGGAGCTAATTGTGAAAATCAAGTGGGTGTTTAGGATGAGGGTAGCCTCCTCTGATTCAAGATTGACTTTGGTGTATTTTCGGAGGGTCTCTGCAGTAAGACCATAAATTCAGCCGGTTTTCTTCAGTCCTCTGGGTAACCTCTCAGAGTTTATCAAAATTAATCACTTTGTGGGCAGTCTTTCTTAAGCCTGCAGTGAAGTAGGGTTACCTTTGGAGACAGTTTTTAGCAGTCTCCTGATCCGGGTTGGTAATTCTAGTGCGGGTCTTCTCTGGGGACTGCTGTAGCTCCTGCACGGTGTTGGGGATTGACACGGTACTTTTCATCTGCAGCAGCCTCAGCCGCCTGCCAGACACAACTCTTTTCGTCTGAGTAGGGGAGAGGATTACATAAATAGCTTTCCAGGTGAGATCATAAGAGTGGAGTAAATATTAGAACTCTTTTATGTAGTTATCTGGATCATGGGAAAAAGATTCGAGCCTTTTTTCAGTTTGTGAGAGATCAGATAGGAAGAAGAGAATGTGGACAAGAACAAGACCTTCAGGGCCTGCTACCTCGTGGAGAGGGAGTAAGGAATCAGGCAGGGGATCATGTGAGCAAATTTGAGTCTCGAGCAGAGGGATTAAGGGAAGAGAGGTAGGGGATCCATAGGTGCAGTAGGTGGTGTCTGAGAGACAGGGGAAGGAGAGGCAACTGCCACTGGTAGGGGGACTATAAGGAAGAGGAGGTAGAGGAGAAGGGACAAAGGCAGAGGGTATGTTGTCCACAAGGTGAGGGTCAGGTGGGGGAAGACATTTGTTATGGAACAGGGGTTGGGCTAGGAGGATTTGGGCAGTAGAACAGGACTGACAAAGGGAAGGGCAGGCATGAGGGGAAAAGAAGGCTTGAATGTAGGGGATCTCTGCCCACTTGCTGCTGATGTGACAAAAGTTGTTGAGGTCATGGAGGACATTGAAATTGAAAGTTCCATCCTCTGGCCGGTGTTCCTCATTATCTAAGGGGTATTTGGGCCAAGCAACTTGGCTATAAAAAAATGAGCCTTTTTGGTTGATGGTCTCCTGGAGACCAAGGGGATCAAGTTTTTTAGGAGACACCCAAGAGGGGATTTAGTGGATTGTTGGAATGGGGAGTTCCCATGAGGCTGAAGCAGGGGTATGAAGATGAGCAAAGGAAAATGGGATTCTGAATAGCTGGCAAGCCATCACCCTCTAAGTCAGACAGACAAGAGGGATAGAAATCCCTGCAAGGCCAGGTCTGAGTCATCACCCAAAGATCAGGTTGGCAGTCCAAACAGGCAAGAGGGTCATCCTCAATGTGGGCCCACGATTTTTGAGAATAAGTGAACGAGAGAGAGAGGGAGGGAGAGACAAGCAGACCCATGCAAGGGCGGGGAGCTTACCTTAACGAGAAAATTGGCTGGTGAAGTGGACAAAGCTGTCAGCAATAGCAAGGTGTTGCTGTGCTTCACAGGGACTTGGTCCATTGACAGTGTTTCACCCAGAGTCGAGCGGGGTGGGGGGGCACTTGCCATCTATGATCCGAGTCACGGCACCAAAATGTAAGGTCAGCAAGGGGAATAGATACAAAACACAGCAACAGAAAGGGAAGTTTTATTGGAGCGGGTATGATGGGCAAGATAGAGGGGGCTGGGTTTATACAAAGGTAAAGGGGCAGGACTGTTAGGGATGCTGTGAAAATTTTGGTGGAGTGAATTTGACTTTAGCATGCGGGAGGCTTTGTTTGAGTGGGCAGGGCATTCTCAGGAGGGGTTGGCATTTGTGGATTAGAGCAGGATGTCTGTCATGGGGCAGGGTCGGCTTTTGTAGTTTCACCCTGGGAGTTGAGACTGAAATGGACTCTAACAATATACAAATGATGAAATAAAGCCTTAAAATGAAGGACATAAGCTTCAGTATGGATGAACCTTGAAGACATTATTCTAAATGAAATAAACCAATCACAAAAGGACAAATACTACATGATTCCACTTACATAAAATAACTAGCTAGCTAGAGGAGTCAGATCATAAAGGTAGAAAGTAGAAGAGTGATTTCCAGTGGCTGGGAGAAGGACAAACGGGCAGTTGGTGTATGTGACCATTGATCCTGATAGGTCAACTTCACTGGCTAAAGAAATACCTAGCAGATTAGTAGAGCCACTCCTGGGTATGTCTGGGCAGGTCATGGGTTGTGGCCTTGGGTACCATATGTGGTCCTCTGCCCATTCCTTTCTGGTGCTGTTCTGCTCTGTTCCCCAATTTCTGTAAACCTAGCAGTTTTGCTCCACCATGCTCATCCACAATGGTGTTCCTGCTTTGGAGCCATATGCCAATGTACTCATACCCCTGGAACCATGAGCTAAAACTTCAAGCCATGAGCTAAATTCAATTCTTTCCTCCTTTAAGTTGTTGATGTTGAGTATTGTGTCTCAGAAATAAGAAAGCTGACTAATACAGTGCTCATTGGGTAGAATTTCAGTTGGAAAAGATGAAAATGTTCTGGATATTGGGTTTACAAGAATATGAACTTTACACTATGGACTATCCACTTAAAAATGGTTAGAATGGTAAATTGTACATTATCCATATTTTACCCCAGTTAAAAAGAATTTTTTACAAAAAAATAAAAAGAATTTGAAGTCTAAAGGTGAATCCACTTTTAATTTTAATAAATATTTTTGAAGTACCTTCCAGATACTGTGGACTAATATTTTGTTCCTATTACAACTTGTGGGAGGGTCCTTCTCCCACAGCCTCTCTTACACGGCCATTGTCAGTCTTTTCCCATCAGGATTTGGTAATGGTGAATGAGAACACAAGGACAGAAACTGACACATTAAATTTGAACTGTAATGAAAGAATGTCTGGACCATCCAGATACTGGATTATAGAGAATGTCAGTCCCACCCAGTTACTCCAGAGGGGCTACAAAGTAAATCTGGGTTACAGCTTTGTGCACAGTAGGTAGAGAGCTCTGTGAATGTCTTCAGAAACTACAGTTCTAGTTTTCTCCCTCATCCCACTCCTAACCTTAAAAATGATGACTCTTCACACAGACTGGCCTACATATTTTCTTGAAACAGCTGTCCTGCATAATCACTCAAACTTGGTTTAAAAGTAGTCTCAGTCTCTAAAAGAAAGTTAGGTTCTTAGGAATGAAGCCCACTTTGAAATGTTCCTACCTCCATGAAGGGCACACCAAGCATTGTCCCCAGACCTCTTCACTGCTCATGACCATACTACCCTACCCTAAACAAATTCCCACTTGAAATCTTTTCATATTCTTGGTTTATATGTGAAAGGGGGAGGGGGATGCAATTATAACCAATCTACAAGTTTTTGTCATTATTCCCATTTTATAAATTCCCTCAGAGATTGTAAATAAGGTATCTGAATTCACACCAAATAAGAAAGCAAATTTTTAGTCTTCGGTGTCAGTTCAAAGCTACTGTGGTGATAGTACCCTGTTTGCTTACTGCAATCCATTCTCCCAAAAGAAACATTCAGATGATCAGGTCGTGCTGCCAGTGAAAAGAGTGAGATGCATGTATCTCTTAGGTAAAGGACTCAGAATCCCAAACTGCAAATAGGGTTAGACTTCTATAGCCCAAGGAGATAGGTTTCCAAACATCAGCCACCTAAAGGACAACCAGTTCCTTGTTGATGGCTTCTCCCTCCTCAGTGAGTGGGGAACATGTTTTCCTAGGTGGTAGGTGGGACTGAGGATCAGCTGTCTAATATTGCTGGCAGACTTGTTTTCTCTGCTGCAGTCAGAAATTGAAGTCTATCAGGTTAAACAGAGAGGTTTGCAATGAACTCTTAACCTCTGTGCTGTTATGAGGGTATCTGGGAAGGGAGATGGTTCCTCATGCTACCAACCTGGCCTTTTGTTTTACAGTCAGAATCTCTGAAGCAGATTTAGAGTGACAACATCCGGAGAGATACTTGTGGCAGAAAGGAGAGCAGTTACTTCTTGCTGCATTGATTTATCCATCCTGAATCGTGAATATAGGATGATCCCAGAGATACAGATTCTGATGTACATAGTATTGATCCCAGAACATGTTTAAAGCATCCCAGACCCAATGAGACTGCTGAGGCAATCCATGTCTGTGCCCATGTCCATGTCTGTGTCTGTGGTGGGGATGGGGAGTGGGGTGGGGTGGGGTGGCTTGGGCATTGACAAGATTTTGATGGTTTCATGGTTTCTGTCCTTGCGGGGAGGGAGAACCCTAGCTAATCTTGTAGTGGGGCCACTGTTTAGCTGTCCAGTGGGCCCACACCAGGTGCAGAGTCCATGTGCCACACTGCAACATAACAAAGTCATCTGCCACTGTTGACTTGACAATGCTTACTAAGACCTGTGAAATTCCTGATAAGGATAGGATGGGATTAGTGTACACATAACTTTCCCCAGGAACAAAGTTGTCTTTTGCTTCTGCTTTTGTTGTTTACCTTAGATCCATATAAAAAAAACTGTATAGCTTAGTAAAACAGAGTGGGAGGGTGGCTTTAATAGTGGCATAGCTCACAAGCCAGCCACTACTCTGTAAGTACCCCCAATAAACTCATTTATTTGCCGAGCTGGACTTGGACCATCAGTGCTTTCCCAATTCAGAGGCAGATGTTTCTTTACATATCCCCAGGAAATGCACGGAACAGTCCTACAAAGATGCGCAAGGAGAAAAAGACTAAGAAGAATGACACAATATTATGTTGTTAGCTAATACTGTGCCCTGGATTTACAAAAAGAGTACATAAACAAGGCCCCCTCCCAATCACAGTTAATACCCAGGAGCCCCCTCCCTAAATATCCCTGAGCCTTTTCCTCTCTGATGTCCTAGGTCCAAGGGAAGGAGGAAGCAAAAGTGACTGTTTGGTGTCGAGAGGAAAACACAGAATGAGTTGGGATGTGTGACTGCGGTATCCACAGACATGCAAGAGAAACATTTCATAGCATAGAATGAAACAAAGGGTAGAAAGAGAAGGGGGAGGGGACATCTCCATTTGTATTCTCACTCCAGGCCTCACAAATATTAGGATCAGGCCTGTCCTTATGAGACAGAAGCCAGTAGTGTTGGATGCCAGTGGCCCAGAGGAAACAGAACTTAGGAATGGAAAAAAACCTAGAGGAAACAGAACTTAGGAGTGGGAAAAACCTCATATCATTGGTCCAAAGGTCTCACTCTTCCTGCAGGTTGCCCTGGCAACCAAGTCTCTGCTGCTGCTGAAGCCTACACAATAGGCTTGTTGCTAGGTCACCAAGATGACAAACACTTGATTCCAAGGGCAGGTACTAGGATCCCCTTGGAGTGCTAAGCTGCTAAGTACTAAAGTACTAGGATCCTTACCAGGCCAGGGAAAGAGGTAGATAAAGCCCTTTCCTTCCAATGACAGGTGGCTTAATACATGGGCCCCAAAAGAGACCTCTGCTATGCCACCTGCCTGCTCTCTGACCTCAAGCACACCCCTTACTTTACACATACACACATAAATTAGAAGTTTTCACTCTATACTGCAGGAAATTTTTGTAAGATTTAGAGGTCACAGGAACAATGGACCTAACAGTACCTGACATACACTAGGTCCTCCTTGGGTTTTCTATTTCTGATGATAATGCCCCAAAACTTAGTAGCTTGTTACCTATTAAATTTCATGATTATAAGGGAGTCAGAAATGCACATGTCTCAGCTGGTGGTCCTTCTGTATTCACACACAATGCAACATAATGGGGAGTGAGAAAACTTCAGAGAGATGACTCAATTGTTCAACTACAAACTGGACCAAATGGCTCAGGTCTCCCAGCATTGCCACATTCAGCTTGGAAAGAGAACAGTCAGTCATTCCCTCAGATAATGGCAGCGATGAAGAACAAAAGGAGAAAGGGCTTTCCTCATTTTACTCATACCATGTAAGTCTCCAAATACATAAGAGACCCTCAGGAAGCAGAGGATTCTTCCACAGTGACTTAGATTATATTTCCACTACAGAAGGAATAGGGTTTGTAGGAGTATTTGAGTTAGTTTTTAAAAATGCAATGTCTTGCACTGCTAACATTCATACACAGTGGTACCTCAGTTCCTGAGCTCAATTCTCTCCATGATTCTGGTCACAAACTGAACTGGACGAAAGCAGCATCAAATTTTCACATAAGGTAAACACTGCACCTAACCTTTGAATTTGATTCCTTCTCATCCAACTCAGTTAGCGATCAGAACTGTGGAAAGAATCAAGTTCATGAATCAAGATACCACTGTGTATATTACATTATTGTTAGACCGTTAGACCCAGGATTACTAAAGCCTTACTGAAACCAGTTAGAAACACAGGAAACTCATATGCAATGCCATTGATATTTAAAAATAAAAATTAAATCCCTCGTGAAATGTTTCCTGGAGTATTGAGTAAAACCTGTATGCTGCTTTGCTATAATTTTAAGACTAGATAATTACAGCTTTGATCATTTTCCTGGGCCACAAGACTAATCCCCTTGTTCAGCCTGGAAGGCTTTTTCTGTGAGCTTCGGCAGGCAGAGTACAAGCCCTGTTTATTTGTTGGCTTCATCCCTCTCACATTTCACCATCCATGTGCCCTGGTAGCACAGACTCAGCCCTTTGGTGGGATCTAGTAGAGCCTGTTCTGTAGCAGTAAAGAAATTGATAACTGACACACTCTGGGAATAAGCAGGAGATCTTGGTGGTCTATGAGGATTAATATTCCCTCTTCACACACTGTCTGAGTGCAAGTGTAATGTAAGCACTAAATTACACAGAGTTCTATCGGTGTTCTTGCAGTGGCTAGTGTTGCCCAGGGTGCCTGGCAAATCTGGGGCTCATGTGAACTGCAAATTTCTACTCTTAAGGAAAATGAGGCAAGATAGGTAGGAAAAGGTGAAAGTACTGTATCTTCAGACCTAGGTTATGAGATAAGGATACAGGAGCTGGGACTCTTGCAGGTGAATTATAATACTCAGGGTAGTAAAGGGTGAGGGCACAGGGCACAGAAGAGAGAGTAAGCTGTCAGCTTCAGGAACAGTGCTGGGCTGGGGTGCAGCTGCTTAGTCCTCTCCTTGGGGGTCAGAGGACAGGCTGTTCCTGCTGGGTAAAAGTAGAACACAAACAAGTTTTCTTGCTGGTAACTGCACTGTACTATAAGAAAAATTATTGACAAAAGACAAGTGAGAGGTTGAAGAGAATGAGCTTTCTGTCCAAGGGCTGGCACATCTAATATGCACTATTAGGTAGGAGTGATGGAGCTGAGAAAGAATTACTGGCAAATGCTGTTGACCTTAAACCCTGAGTCCTTAGTGGAAAGAATACTGACTGGCATTGAAAAACCCAGGTCCAGGTCTCAGCCCTGCCACAAACTGGCTTTGTGACCTAGGGTAAGTTACATCATATCAGCATTTTTCCACCAGTGGTTTGGTAAGGTACTGAGGTGTTAGCCAAGCTTGAGATACTGTTAATCCCCACATCAGTTTTTGTCCTTCCTTCTGTCATCAAGAGATGGTATTCCTGTCCCAGAAAGCATCAGCGGAGAACAAACATTTTTAAATAAGAATGCTCCACCCTCCTATGTTTGTGTTGGTGGGAGAAAGAGGAAACAGGCACCAAAGGCATGAGTAAGGCCCTTCCCTTCTCCCTGCAGGCCTCAAGCAACCCAAACTGTATGCTGAACAGTTAGCAGTGATCCCAGGGAAGTAGAATTAGTATCTAAGACTTAGGAAAATATTCCTTTTTTCATGAAGGCTTTTTATTTGGAAGATTAACTATCCCTGAGAACTCACTCCCTTGATTGGAGAGAGAGATAGTAGTTACATACGTGCTTCTGCAGCAGCTGGATGCACAGAGAAACCTGTAAGGTAAGTTAGTGGGTGACCATAACAAAGCCCCAACTGGGTGGAATTCCCCATAAGACAATAATTAATACAGCAGGCCTAACTACTGTCCTTTGAAAACCTTGCTTGCAAGGTGGGCTGTTGGCTAGAATCTGGAACTTGAATTTCAAGAGGGTTCCCACCCACCCCCAGAACTGGTAAGAATGGCCATCAGTTCCTAAACTGTCTACATAAAAATTCATTTTCTGCTGAACACCTTCTAAGACTCTGGCACTTTGACATGTGCTGGGCAGAAGAAGCCTACATGCAGAGCCACCAGTAAAAATGCTGAGCACTCAGTGTTTGCTAGGTTTTCCTGACTGGCAACATTTCAGACATGCAGAATTAAATATGTCCTCTGCGACTCTGGAAAGGACCTCTGGAAGCTTGCAGTGGTGTCCTTTTACTGTGTCCCATGTTTTTGTGTACTGACTGCCTTAATAATGAATCAGTCAGGACTATAACTACATGCTGAGTCCTGTGAGCCCTCCCAAGTCCCATCCTGGATTTCAATGCAAGGTAAGACAAGACTTGGGACACCAAAGCTACTGAGCTGGGCTTCAGAACTCAAGGCATTAATGGCCATTATTGATCCTTCTTTTGAATTCCATACTCCTCTCCTAGCCTCAGTACCCAACTTGAAGGACCCTTATATGTTGTGGAGACCAACTCTTGATGGAGGAGCATCTCTCAGGCAGTTCTATGGAACAGCGTTAGAGTAAACTGAGGAATGACCAGGGACACCAAGTCAGGTAAAGTTGAAGCAATAAGCGAAGTTTATTCAAGCCTGGGTGCAAGTGGGCAAAGGGTGATAAGACCACTGGCCCCAAGGGACAGGTGGGAGGTTTTATAGGAGTGTTTAGATAAAGGAGGGACATGGCAGGGAGGAGTGGGAAGTTTTTAGTCTGGGCCTGGTGAGTTGGGAGCCTTGGTGACATCCATATCTTGCAGATGTGGCTATGTAAGGCAGTCGCTTGTTCATCTAGTTTGGCAAGCTTTGGCTCCCTGTTATCTCTGGGTCTGGGCAGCTGTGGTCAGTGGCTCTGCTCTGGGAATTTTTTCTTCTCTGTCCAGGAAGAAGTTTGACAAACAGATCAGCAGGATGGTCATGCCAGCGCTGAACCTCTTTAATCTTGAGCAGAGACCTGAACATTTTGCTTGCCAAGACTCAGATGTCCTGCTTGTCCCACACATGTTCATAATACCAAGACCTGAGAGCATTCAAATGGCAACAATTACAGAATCACTGTGTTAAGAACAATTTCTTGACCAATTGTGGCAAGATCAAGGTCTCAAAAGGGAAACTGCAGGCCTGGTTAGTTACATAAATGCTTCTACAACCCCTATGCAATGTACCTTTCTATTATTGTTGTTTTTTCATGAGTTCCACAGCAAATGATAAGGTCCCTCAGAGGAGGTGCTACACTCAGTGTTGAAGACATCTGACTTACCCCAGATTACACAGTTCATTAAGAGCAAGAGAAGGATTCAATTTCCAGAGCAATGTTCATTCCTAGGGGAAAACCATGGAACAGAGCACTGACAGAAAGCCATACAGTACAAAGCCTACATGTTCACGAGCACCCAAATTGGAAATAATATGTATGTGGCTGGCATTTGACAAGACTGCAACCAGTTATGAGTCCCTGAAAATTAAGAACTGAGCTTTATTTTGCTGACTCTCAGTTTCTTCATTTCAGCAGGCACAGAAAGTTTCTGCTCTGGCAGCATCAACCAGCTGACCAGAGAGGACCAGCCCCAAAATGTAATCCTTTTCTCTTTGTTGAGATTGGAAATAATCAAAAGGACAGCAGCATGTAAGAGAAATGATTTAACTTTATAAAAATGTGGCAATACAGCAAGATTTGATTGTGTTCTTTTTTCTTTCCCTTTTTTCTGGCAAGTAAAGTTTATAAAAAAAATACCTGGCATAAAAATTAGAAACACAAACTTTGAAGCAAATGAATCACTTATACAATAAAAGAAAAACAATAAGCAGCAAAAGCAGCAGCAGAAAATTGGTTTGTTCTGAGGACAAAACCACCAGAGTGGGGTAAAGTGGCAGTAACCATCAGAGAGGCATGAAGGCTTCCTGAATGGGACCAGACCAAATGGCAGCTGGCTCAGTGGACAGAGGGGAACACTAGCCTCCTGCAAACAGGCTTGCATCCAACCCCCTCTTACAAGCCCACCAGCCACATGGCAGTGATTCATAGGCAAATCCTAAAGAACTGGCACTGAAAGGTTGGCTTCCTCCTTTGTCTACTTGTTCCTAAACTGTAATTCTGTAGGTCACTATCCCACTACCAACAAATGTCAACCTAAGCTTGAGTGACAAGCTTGCTAGGGAAATCCAAGAAATCTAGATGTATAGGACTTCATACAAAACACTTTTTTGGGAAAGTATGCACCATAGCCAAGGCAGAGTTAAGACCACCTTGGAGAGGCAGGCTAGAAATGCCCCCCAGCTACTCTGTCCTAGAGAGAAAGGCCTTCCAAAGGATGCTAGGTGAATTCTTAATTACATTCTGAGGTAGTCTAACCTGACTCGCACAGGTAGCTGAGAATGGTAACAAACAGTGGAAGGCGGGAGGGCAGAACAGTTGCCATAGAGAGAAAAGACTAACATAACAGAAAGAACTACACTACACTACAAGTGGGCTCAGAGATGTCCAGAATACACTCTGGGCTCAGGAACAGCTGGTGGTGGGCCCAAGAAGGGCCCTGGGGACACACAGCTTTTGTACTACTTGCTGTTGCAGCAGTGTGGCAGAGATGTGGGAATCCATAAAGGAATTTCCTGGACAGAGCACTGACAACTCTGAGGTGAGGGATGTCATCTGAAATGGTTAGTCCTCTGCTACCTACATGTCATGATGGCAATGCGTCAAAGAGCCTGGGGAATTTGGGGTGAGGAGTTTTAACATTCCCTTCAACTATAACTCCTCTAACCTGAACACGTTGGGGGGAACTAATACTGCAAGATTTTACTAGAAAACACTTAGGAGGTCCCTCAGGTGAGGAAGCAATCAGATCCTAAGTGATCACTGAAAGAAGTAAGAAAGAACAAGAAACAAAGGTGATGTTGGACTCCCCTACTCCTTCTTTTAAATGCTAATTCACATTCTTTTTCCTCTTCTGCCCCAGCACTCAGAATTCTGAGACTGGATGGAATGTTGTGAAGGTTTAGGAGGCAGCAGCTGTGCAGACATTAGTATTTTCTCTGCTTTCCACATTTCCGTGAACGCCTTCTAGGACGGAGCTCACCAAAGTCTTCAGCTTCATTTTCATAATCATCATCCTCAACAATACCTATTCATGAGGTAAAAAACAAAAAATGAAAATGGTGAGCCCACCCCACTATCCCACTCTAAATACCACATCCTAGTGAAAGCTAATGTCTCATAATTGTTTTAAATTAAAAGGGGATGGTAAGGGAGGGCAATACAAAGGATGAAAAGAATCAAAGTACCATATGTTATATGCATGTATGAAAATGCCACAATGCAACCCAATATTCAGTATAATTAATATGTACTAGTTCAAAAAATGAATAAATAAAGATTTCTACTAGGGTGCCAAAGAAAATACTGTCTTCCAAGAAGAGCCAAAGTGAACATTCTTCTCCAGAATTAAATTCTTTATAGGTTGATTCCTCTGGTCTTATTGTACATGTCCTTTAATAAATGACAAATCAGGGAAAACCTAAGCTCAACCATATTTTTGAGTTGGTATAACTATTACCTTCCTTTTGAAATTATTATAAAATCTTAAGTCTCCAGAAGGGTCTATATACTAAAGGTTTTTTATGAGTACAGACATCTGTACCAAGTTCCTTCAAATTTCCCCCAGCTCCAAGGCCTGGATTTTCCAGTAGCAGCTGAATTAAGACTCTGAAGAGTATCCAAGATTGGTGAAATCTCAGAGAAAAAGGAATGTGATCTGGTTAGGCAAGGCACAGCAGGTGGAAAGGGTAAGAGGGAAGACATTCTGGATCACACAGAACTTAGCAAGAAATTCTGACTGTCAGCAAAGAAACATGACTCACTCTAACAAGCCTGTGACCCTCTGCAGCAAGATGCCTCCAGACTTATCTAAGGATGTTGTGTTTTGTTCACAAGGTATTCCCAGGCCCAGAAGAATGTTGATAGACACCAGATACTCAGTAAATATCCATCAATTTAAATGAATAATCAACACTGGCAAACATCTTTATGAAGAGATAGCTCTGCAATACTTTATCCTTGGGAGTCTCTGTATTGAGTATGTGCTCATGAGTAGTAACAGAAGTATTTAGCTAACAGGAGGGAAGAATGCTGCCCTCACAATCAGATGAAGAAATTTAGATATTGTGTTGCTAATTCATTAGAGATTATGCTCCTAGACAATGAAAGGTTATTGGCTTGGGTAGCGGCCTCATTTTAGATTCACCTGGGAGCCAGCAGTATGAAGAACCACAAGACTCAACATATTGCCTGTTCCTGGAGTAAAGGACTCCTTACCTTCCTCCTTTAAGTGGAGCTCTGTTTTCATCAACCACTCCTGTGCTTCCTTGACGGACATGACCAGAGTCATTATCAGCCGAGTCATCGCCTCCTCCGCTACAGAAACCAAAGGACAGGGGCTCTAAGTGAAGAGGCTGCTACAGGCACTTGGACATCAAACACTAGAGTCAAAGTCCCCGTGTCCTAGGAACTACTCTGTGTGTGCCTTCCCTGAAGACAGCCCTCCTTATAGAGTGGCCTTCTGCCACCTCAAGCATAAGCTGCCTTTAAATGTTAGCTCATCAGTAGCATTACTGTATGTCTGTAAATTGCCAATAGCAAATCTTTCTACTGGTAGCCTACATTCAAAACGTCATTAAACCCTGAGCTGGGTATAGTATCTGAATTATACAATGTTTCAATATATGCAGTTTCACTCATTTTATATATGTATCTTTCATTCAGTGTTGCTAAGGAGTACCTAATAAGGAAACTAGGAGTAACCTGATTCTAAGACCACTCAAGAATTCTTATTTCTAAAGGCTCAAACTGGGTATGGCCTAAAAAGAAAAGATCAGCTGCATTCTTCCAGTTCTTACTCTAGGGTTCAGCACAAAGTAGCTGCTCAAAAAAGGCCACTGAACGAATGAATCAAGAGAACCTTAAAGGGTTTTCTCAAGCTTTTCAATATTCTTCCTAAATCCTCTCCATAGAATTAGTGACCAAACTATTTTCTCATCTGTAGTATCTTGGCAAATCATCCTGGCCAAAGATAATCATAATTTTTTAATTAGAGAAGAGTAATCTAAACAATGAGGTTTTCCTGTAGTTTGAGAACAAACGTTCATTTCCTTCTGTCTTTGCAAATACCAAGATTCCATCATCCCCAAATCAGATGCCACTACAAAGAACATAGCTCTCATCACCTAGTATGCTTATCTGACCCCATCTAGGCCCCCATCTCTGTGGCCCTTACCACCAGCCCAGGCCTTTCTCCTGTAGAGATCCTCCACCAAATCTGAAACCCTCTTGATGTGCTCCTGGACCTTCCTCTGCAGCATGAGGCTGTGCTCTTTAGACCCCAGGTGACTACGGATCCATCTGTTCTGCTCAATGTCCTGCACCACTAATTTGCCTTCATAAATGGCTGGGTCCACCTTCTCATGGAAAAATTCCAAGTATTTTTGGTAAGCTACTTGTTGCCTCTGATGGCTTTCTAGGCGGATGTGCTGCTCATAGGACTCGATACTCCTCTCCCAACACTCCTTCCCTTCTAACTCAGCCCTAGAAAGAATCACACCCTCTGAAACTACTCCCTCAAATGCTTTGCTGGAGTTGAAGTAGTTCTCAGGACTGCGGGTGAACTTCACTCCACACAGATCACACTGGGTCCTGTCCACGTCGGCCTTCTTAAAGTTCCCAGCTCTGGGCTCCCTAGGTTCTTCGCTGTCATGCTCTGTCTGGACCCATCTCCTCCAACTGATGCACAGAGACACCACCAGGCATGTTCTTCTCAATTTCCGCTGGACGGATGCCTTTCGCTGCTTCTGTGAAAGGATGGTGGCCAGGAGGTAGTCTCGGTCTTCCAGTACCAGGTCATCTGTCTCATCCTCATCAATTTCATAGTCAGGTTCAGCAAAGTAGTCTGCAGGGCCAACACAGAGCAAGCGGCTTAGTCT